AAGATAATACTTTCTTCGAGTTTGTCATACCGTTCACGAGTAATCGACCATTCGAGTTTCTCTTGTTTTGTCTACTCAACTAGCCTTCACTCTCATCACTTCCGTGATTATCGTCAAGCAGAAAATCATGTTTGCAAATTTGAACTGCGTGATTCTACTTACGGTTAGTTCAGTCCTCTTAGCCTTAGGTTCAAGCCACGACAAGCCACGTGGCTTGACAAAGGGAAAATACTTCATAGGATTTTTCTCAACTGTGGGTGCGGGATTGTTATTCGCTCTTTATCTCCCAATCATGGAGAAGATATACCGAAAAGTTTACTGCTACGCCATGGTTGTAGAAATGCAGCTGGTGATGGAGATNAGGCTTACTGGCTGACGGTTGGGTTTAATGTGGTAACGTGGCAGTTGTGCTTCATGGGTACTGCCGGAATGGTGTTCTTAACGACGTCGTTGACCGGAGGTGTGTGCATGACGGCGTTAATGGGGATAAATGTGTTGGGAGGGGTGTTAGTTTACGGTGATCATTTTGGTGGATTCAAAGCAGTTTCCACTTTACTCTGCCTCTGGGGATTTTGTTCTTATATTTACGGCATTTATATCAAAACGAAAGAGGAAGAAAACAAGATTGACAATTCAAATTCCAGAGAGAAGATGAGTAGTAGTGATTGTCAACCTCAGTTCATGGAACTAGCAGAGATTGTTACGCATAACGCCTGAGGCTCATGTTGATCTATCTCTATTGTTTTGTTTTTTGGTTTATTCGTTTTAGGGTACGGTGTGGATCAGCTGGTTTATCAATGTACTCGTAATATTAGTTGGGGCATCAGTGACCAAGTTTTTGTACTCATGTTAATTAATGGAAAAGTAAGGACTAAAGACTAAAGTAATTGTTTAGGCATCCAAGAAGCTCAGTAGTTCATGCCCGGTCGTTGAGTCGATGAGTTGGTCGATATGGGGTAATGGGAACGAATCCTTTAGGTATGCTTTGCAAATCTATGAAATCCTCGCACATCCGCCATTTCCCATTCTTTTTTTTCACCGTCACCACGTTGGCGACCCATTAGTGATACTTCGACATCCTGATGGAGCCATTTTCCAATAGTTTCTCCACATCTTCTCGTACCGCATCATTAATCGCGGGGTTGAATTTATGCCTGACCTGCCTCACCGGGGGGTGGAATGGGTCGACGTTCAATTTATGCGTGGCGATTTCCTTCGGGATACCCAACATATCTGCATGACTTAAAGCAAACAAATCTGTGTTAGTAGTTAAGAACTGACAGAATTTACCTAGTTCCTGAAGTTTGCAACAGATGTAAGCTTTCTTGTTGTGATCATTGGTGTCTAATTGAACGGGGTCGATATCTTTTATGGTTGATTCCGCAGCTTCGAACATTTCGGGGTCTCTGATGACGTCTTCGCTATCATCACATATCAACCTCGACCCTGCTGATTGCTATGCCTCTTCTCCTTGGTCCTTCGCTTGTTGAGTGGTCGTGTAGTCTAGGGCGATGCGGTAGCATTTTTGGGATGTGCGTTGTTCCCTTTATATGCTGAATATCCCACAGGGAGTCGGGAATTTGATGACCTGGTATAAGCTGGAGGGGATGGCCCTCATGGTGTGTATCCATGGTCGCCCTATTATGGCGTTGTACGGTGTGTCTTGGTCCATGATGTGGAGCGTGGTTTCCAAAGTGACGCCACCGGCCAGAACATGGAGTGTGATTTCGTCTGAAGTCCTCTCAAGTGCATTGTTAAACCAGTTAGCATGATGCAACGCGGTATTATCTTATCTTCGAGTTTCATTTGTGCAAGTACTCGAGGATGGATAATGTACGTGCCACTCCCATCGTCTACCATAATGCATCTCACATCGGTATGTAAAATTCGTAAAGTAATAACAAGGGAATCATAGTGAGGGAAAACCAAATTGTTGGTATCTGACTTATCGAAGATAATACTTTCTTCGAGTTTGTCATACCGTTCACGAGTAATCGACCATTTGAGCTTGTAGGTAGTGGTGAACTTTACGCTGCTAATGGAAGCATCTTCACCACCTCTGATGATCATGTGGACGGTGGGGGTTGGTGAGGGCGGCTTCGGTGGTCCTTGATATTGTTCGCACCCTCTAGCAAAGTTGGTCCTTCCTTGGTCGCTCAACAACTCTTTGAGGTGTCCCTGTCGTAACATGTTTACGACCTCTTGCCTTAGGGCGATGCAATCTTCGATTTTGCACCCTCGTTCTCGATGGAACTCACAAAGGGCATCCGATTTTCTGGTACTCGGATTTGATCTCATCTTTTGTGTCCACTTCACCTTTGGTCCGAGGTTCTCCAAGGCGTAGATTATTTTTGTAGGTGACACACAAAAGTTGTGAGCGGATAATAAATGAGGCATACCTCTTTTGTCCTGGTGAGTCCCTATCCTTGATGTGGGTGGGCCTTCTTTATGGCGGGAGGGGGGCAATGGCCGCTCTGACATATGGTTGATATCGTTTCCTGTTGGGTTGTGAAGCAGCGATGTCCCTTATGGTATCATTTATTTGATCTTTTTAGGATTCAGCCTGTACCGAGGTTAGTCGATGGGTTGGTCCATTGAGGTCATCCTCGTCTGCTCGGACCTCGACACAATATGCATTGTGTATTTCATCCCAAGTGGTTGGGGGTACTTCATCAGTCGACTCAATAGCTTTTTAGTCGCCCTCAAATTGTCCCTACTCAGCCCGTTCTGGAAGGCTGCTACTGCCATCCCCTCCGACACATTTGGTAGGGTCATCCTTACTTGGTTCAAACGGACGAGGAAGTCCCTCATTCCCTCTCCTCGAGATTGCTTAATAGAAAAAATGTTGTTAACTCTTGCCTCAGATTTCTTAGTCCCAGCATGGGCCATTACGAACTTGTTAGCCATCTCTTTGAAAGTTTCAATGGAGCACACAGGTAGTTGTGAATACCATATCAACGTTCTTCATGTGAGGGTTTCATCAAATTTCTTCAACAAAAATGGAGGATACTTGTTCTTTGGCGAGATCGTTGCCTTTTACGGCGGTGACGTAGTGAGTCACATGATATTCAGGGTCGGTCGTGCCATCATATATTTTTAGGTAGGGCGGTATTTTGAAGGTCTTCGGTATGGCATGCGGGGCTGCCTCATCACTGTATGGCTGCTCGACAAATCGGCATGCGTCTCTTTTCGGCAATAGTTTAGGGGCGCCCGGTATTTTATCGACCCTTTCCTGGTGTTCTTTCATTTGATCTCGGAGTTCCTTGTTCTCGTTTTCCATTTCCTCCATCCTTTTCAAAATGGTTGCAAGAGTGTTATCACCTGCATTATCAATGACATTGTGAGTAATACCTATTGTTGGAGGTAGATGGAGTTGGTCACATTGTTCGTTCGCCCGTTGCACAGTGCAAATCGTTGCATTTTCCATAGTCGCATCTCGGGTAGACTTGTTGAGGACGCCAGCTAGCGTGTCGGTGAGCCATGCTTCAAGTAGCTTTTTTTACAGCATGGGGCGTCTCTTCCCCCACATATGTGGAGGCTCCATTACCAAGAGATTTTGTGATACTGTAGTGAGGAGGGGGTGACCCATCTTGCCTAGGGGGCATTTGGCGTTGCGTCTTTGTCCGCTATTTCACAGCTCTCATTTATGACATTTATGAGGTTGGTTGGGAGGTTACTTATTATTCTCCTCCTTTCTTCTCTGTTACCTGCCATATTGGATTGGTGTATACAAAGAAAGGGGATCTTGTTCTTGCTCTTTTTTTTACGTTAGCGATCCGTGTTAATTATAGATCTAGAAGAAACTACAATTTTAACTAGAAATTTCTCACACACGGTGCCAAATTATTTGACAAAAAAATATGACTTTCGGCTAAAACAATTGAGTTTGTATAATAATGGGTTAAACCTAATTAAAAATAATATCTCTAGATTTGAGTTCAGAAAATGCTAGTAACATTAGACAGATCTGAAAATGTGTTGACTATAACATACATTGATTATTTTGAAAAGTGTGAGCAATAATGGGGGGAGAACTAACAATAAATAACATTAAATGATATTTAAGTAAATAGGAAAAGTGGTTCACCCAATAAAGGATGAACTAGATGATTGTCCCTCGTGACAATGATGAATGCCAGATAAGTCCTCGAATGTTTGAATTATTCTCGGATCTTATGGAAAAGTGTGAAATAATATGAACAAGAATCTTGATGAAAATGTAGTGTTTGTATCTTTATAAAAGAGAGAGAGTCTTTTCTCAAAAGTCTATTCTTATAAAATGAATGTCACATGCCTTCATCACTGTCTCTTTTTCTATATATATATATGAGACATACCCCTAACACACCTAATAGTACAAGTGCAGAGAATATCCATTAGAATATTCTCTTTAATATCTCATTTTGAAAACTAGCGGTTACAACTCTGCAAATGGTGTTCGATCTCGCCCGTTATTGACATCTCGACCACAAACCTCGCTATTTTCTGGTCGACCTCGACTGACCCATTTCTTAGTACTATAATTGCCCTAAATATTTTAGGGCAGATTTCGACCTTCTACTATACAGAAGGATGTTAAATTGATCACCTTTTGCTTTATGTAGCTTCGCCCTACCCGTTTTTGCTATATTAATTCTTTGGAACTTATCCTAATGGCAGTATTCTGGAAATAGCAAAGAAATTATTATGACTTTTACCGTGTGTTGCAAAAACTTGAAAGAATTATGTTTTCTCACTTGTTCTTCCAAAACATATTTTTGGGTTGAGTTTGTTTTTCAAGTTCAAAATGAAACTTGTGATTGGAAGACATGGCAAGGAACAGAGTTTTCACAAAGGTAGAGGGAAGAGAAGATGGAGGAATTTGAATTTGTGCGCACCTATGAATTCTAAAGAAGTCCATGTTCTTGCCATCGATGATAATCTCATAGATAGGAAAGTTCTTGAATGGCTGCTCAAAATCACATTTTGTAAAGGTTGAATGAAAATTCACACCCCATAATCTTAACCTAGTTCTTTTGCTTTTGTTAAAAATTACAAAGAGAAATCTTGATGTTAATTTCCAATCTGGATTTGCTGATTTTGTTTTGGCAAAACTTGTTGGCCACAGTATCAATAGATAGTTTGGTTGGATTGGTCGGCGTTTGGGTGTGAAAATATTGAAGGAGTTTGAGGAAGAGGGTGAAGATATAGGGCCACAAATCTGAAAAATGAAAAAGAAAAGTTCAACGGAAAATTTTCCGGCAAAGCTATTCATTTTCCGGCAAGAAGTATGTGGAGTATGCCTTTTGGATGATTTTCACGCGCGACAGAAATGTGAGAAACACTTGACTTGCCATGTCAGCACATTGTGTTTAAATGACACATTTGAGATGTTGTTGAACTCTTCAAATGGAACAGACTTAAGATAAAGTATTCGAAGTGAAAAGTATGAACAAATTTAAGGGATTGTTGATATATTCTGCCTTCCTATTTTAACCTTGTTGGATGAACGGAGCATAGTTACTTATATTTTAGGATAATAGAAAACGCAATATTGTACCAAGAATTGTAAAAGCTAAATACTTCAATCAAAATCTAAAGCTAAATTATTCAATCAATGATGCCTGAATTTTTATCGAGAAACTAAATTACTCTCAAGAAAACCCAAATTTGAAACGGGGGAAATGAATACAACAAATCCGATTTGTCCTGTTCTTTTAAAGAGACACGAAGAATCTCTGTGGATGTGATCAGTGCTAGTAGTTGTAGTAGTATTAATGCAAAGAAGGAACGACAATTCATATAGACTATAGCGATATAGTATATAGGTAGGTTATAAGAGAGAAAGAGAGACATGTTCAGATGGTAAAACTGACAACTACTGAAA